AGGTAGGGCATACCCAATACCTTGTAGTCAGACAATGGGACACAATATACAGCCGAGGAATTAAAAATACTTAGCATGTCATTTAGGCAAGCACAGAACAAAATTCTGAACCACATGCTAGTCTAAGCAGGTGCATCGCAATTCAGCAACTCCGGCAGACCAAAGTAAGAGAAATGGAAAAGTGAGAGAAGGGTATTTGTTGAGAAAAACTTGCCCTGCATCCTAGAAAGCTGAGTCTGAAAAATGGGCTACCAGAACACACATGCTAATCCTACCCACTGTGGCAAACGACAGAGGAAGAGACAGTTTCTCAAGTAGCTGAAGTCCAGACCGTTCAAGGCTCACCTTAAATTGCCCCCTGAAACAAATGCTACCATAAAAACTGTCTGGGTTCATATGTAACACTTTAAAAAGCCATATTTGACAGCTATGTTGTCATAACAGTGAAATACAGATCTCCGTTACTTCAGAGTTTGTGAAATATTACTTATTTTCCCTACTAGCTGGCAGTGGGAATTTTGCTATATCCATTATACGGTATATATAATAAGTAACAGATGCCTATGAATTATGGTGCTATAATTCCACTGAGGGGTTCCAGGGATGTCAAACCACAAAAGCAAAGCCTGAGTAGTTTGTGTTGTTACCTGAACATGGAGATGGAATTACAGGCTTGTCATCCAAAAGCTGCCCTTTTTTAAATAGTGCATGAATCCAATTTTATTTGTTTTTTTAAGTTTTTCCTCTCCCTTCCCCATACTCTCACAGTGCCTTCCTTCCTGCTCTCCTCCTGCCTCTTCCTCTCTCCTCGGATGGCTACTGGAGAAGCTGCAGGTGAAACACTCCTGCTCCCAGCTGTTCCTGGCATGCTACAAGCGTTCTCCGAGCAGCGGATCCTGACAAGAGAAAGCTAACGGTGTCTGCTGCTTTACGCTAACAGCATCTTCGTCGTTCCTGTGCGTGAACATACTTGTGGATTCACACAATCCCTTCAAACACTCCCAGGAAATGGTGTTGACCATGTTATGAATATAAACAGTATCTTAAAGAAAACATTAAACACAAGCTCTGAAACCTCAGGAATGCTCTCCTCCACACCTATCAAAGGTGGCCACCACCATCATCATTGGTGGTCTGCATCTTGACCGGGAGGTTCGTATCCCCCTTGCAAACTTAACAGCAAGATGTCTCAGTAGACCTTTATGACATTCAGGAACAAAAGATGTCTTCTAAAGATGCAATGGAATGAGAGATGTGTGGTTTTTAGTTTTAGGAGGATACTACAGCCTTTTGAGTTGACACGGAGGCCTTCAGAACACAAGAATACCCTCAGCCTCCATCTACAGGCTGCATATTTCAATGCTGCTCCCTTTTTCAAACAGCAGGAAAACTATTCATTTCCATAAGAAAGTGCAACACTAGTTAATATGTATGTGCTAATAATTATGTGACTCTAAAATCCACAAATGCATTTTTTAAGGAAAATATATTCCTACGAGTCAAAATAAACTTCCATCAATAAATATGGCTTATGGTTATCATTATGCCAATTAATTGCTTTAATTTGAGAATTTTGGATTTGATTCTCAGTTTCAGTACATAAAATTTTCCATTGAAAGCAGATTTTGGCATTCCTTGTATAAGATACAGTGGTTAGTGTTAACATGCAACCAAAAACTTTATGCAGGCAAATAAACTTACTTCCTCCTCTTTGGGCTTACTTCCAACCCCCTGCTTTTAATATATGATGTACAAAAGTCCCACAACACTTCTTTCAATATAAACCAGGAGCCAGAAATGCCCATGAGAGCATTTCTTAGGTCAATACTTTTCACTTTATTATTATTCATGCCTATACCTATATGGAAATATAGAATCACCTACTTCATTTTTAACGATGCATGCATTTCTTTAGGGGAAAATATTTTGCAAACAAAATCAAGCATGTCCTAACAAATGGTATGAATACATAATGAAAGAGAGATTTGCTTTTACTGGATTCTTATTATAAACTTTAATTGCAGATAAATATTAAACTTCTCTGTTGAACAGCTTAACAACTTCATGACTGCCTGGTATAACACACCCAATATCATGAAGTTGCACATAACTTTTATTAACAAGTGGGCTGTGAATAGTACAGCCAAAATATTTGGTTGGGATGGAAAAGACAGCCCAAATTGAATTTATTTGAAGAAAAGTTGAAACATATATACTTACCAAGTGAAACCATTATATCTTACCCATTGAAACATTCTAATTGTCATTTTAGAGCAAGAAAATATTTACTGGATATTTCTTCCTTTTTCCCACTCCTATCCACTGCCAGAGACACCTACATGCTCTCCCTCTCTTGAGGTCTGTCTACACTGCAGTCAAAAGGGTAACTTCAGAAAATAAGTACAGACTTAAAGCTAGCTGACTTAAGCTATTTTCAGTACAGGAGAAGCAGCACAGCTCAAGCTGCCGTGGCTTCAGCAAGGGTTTAACAAGCCCATCAGGGACTCTGGATTCATATTTGGGGGGCTCACCTGCAATGACACCTGTGCAGCCCTGGCTGATATCTAAGCTAAGCACAGCACAGATCTGTCTGCACATCACATCTGTGGCTGCATTGCAGACGTACCCCTCCTTGCCTCACATGCACACATGCATGCTGCATCTATTTGTCAATGGTAAACCTCACTTGCAAGAAAAGCTGCAGGTGAAATTCAATCACCTAAAATGTCACCATTTCTCTGTGTATACTAATTATACATTTGTGACATCTTTGCATGAGCCTGTTGTGACTGCCACCTGACTGAGACTAACTCTATTCCTGAGGGTTTTAAAAGACAAACGTGGTGGGCATGCTACTGCAGCCAGGACAGTCCAGAAAATATGAAGCTTGGATTTTGTTGGTGATCTCTTTTACTGGCCTAACTGTATAGTTAGCAGATGTGTTTCGGGCACAAAGTACCCTTCTTCTGAAGGAAAGCCTGTCTAACTTGTCCCCCAACTACACAGTTGGTCCCCTCAAAAAATGTATCAGCCAAGAAATCCTCACCTCTCAAAAGACAAATGAAACGTTTTGGGTAGACCCTTCCATGCCATCATTCTGATTTTTCTTTTACCTGAGCCACTATATGATGACGAGGAAGGTGTTCGTCGTGAAAAACTTTTCACCGCAAGACTCTGGCCACGCTGTTTCCGCCGCCAAGCAGTCCGGCATTTGGAGTCTATGCTCTGCTTGATCCGGTACCAGTCAGACTCTGAGATTCCAAATTTATAGAAAAGGTGGCCTGCAATTAGAAAGACAAAAAAGGGTAGACCAAAATAGAAATCTACATTCTGTGTAAAATACACTGATCAACCATGCAACTACAAAGACTGCCATGCATTGCAGAGCAAGAAAACATCTACATGAAAACACTCCTGTAGACAAATGCTCAAAGCTACCTTGAGGAATAGGGGACAATCTCTGGGAGAGATTTTCAGAACTAGAGCTGTGTGCAAGCACTACAACTGCATGTGCAACCAAAGTAAATGCCCACATGCAAACAACCAATGGTGCATCCAACTGACAAAGGATACACAATTTCCTTACTGACTTGCACATTGTACCATCAGGTTTGAGATGCAATGTTGACAGTCTGCTAGATCAGCTGCCCCCTTGCCAACTATGCTTATTAGCTACAATTATAGAAATCTGATGACAACTGAAAGCCCGGGCTAATTTCTGCTGTGAAAAACCCTCTAGGGTCCCTCTGATGATTCCTCAAAATCCCACAAAAATGAATTACAGGGTGCATAATGACAGTGATATAAAGTCAGTTTTCTAATACAGTTGTTTCAGTAAACTATATTACAGTAAAACCCAGATCCTTCATAGGGTAAAGTTCCCTTACCCCACAAAGAGAAGAAGATTGGTGAACTAGCCAGGCACTGTGTGCACATAAACAGTGGTGAAGAACTGCTTAAGTGAGCCAGATGTTTGCTGCAGCTTTTATTTCAAAGGACCCAATTTTCTAATCTGGAGACCACCGCAGTGATCCAAGTCAGTGGAGAAGCAATGCCTTTGAAGAGAAAAGCTGCAGCAATTGGCTGAGCAACTCGTTCTTAATTCAGCAACCCACTGTTAATTACACAGATAATTGTAAATCATCTCAATCACACACAAAAAAATCCAGGTTCTGCTACAGCTTCCCCATTCAGCATAGAAACAGTTGTATGAATTGCGTGGCATGAAGATTGTGCACTGAAGTGCACATGGTTTGGGTTGTGTTGCAAACTCAGGCTAGGTTCTCTAAGGCTTCAAAGTTTTGCAGTAAACACGGACCTAGTTACAAGTGAAACAGGAGAAGCAAGCAGAAAACATAGGGCTGTGTTTCAAGCATGCTTGGAACAATTGGTTTCAACATCTAGGACATTATGGTTAAAAATAATGGGAAAGAAATAACTTGAACATTTTTACAAGTTCCCAGCACATGGTTGCCAACTTTCATGTTTCTACTGCAGTCTTGCAAAGATTTTTTTTTCTTAAAGCTCCAGTTGCTGGAGTCATCTGATTTTATGTTAAACCTCAGATTTCTCGAAAAGATAAGACATTTCTAGCCCTCAGGGTTGAAGAAAAAGCCCTGAAAGACTAAACTATAAAATTTCAACAACCAGAAGGAAAATAAAATTAACCCAACATTAATTTATTTTAGAACCTCATTATTTCAAAGCCCACCTCAGAATGATTGAGACAGGTTTTGGTGCAGTAATGACAACCTACCTTACAAAACATCCACAATGTGTGATTAATTCCACTGCCAGAAAATGGGATGGGGTGTTTTGCTATAGCCACTCAAAAGGCCCAGCAACCTGGAACTAACCCAAATTGTCTCTCCTTACTATGAGGATACACTTATGTCCTAGAAGCAAAAGAGTTTTATTTAAAATGATAGGGCACTCTTAAGTGTTTGCCACTCCTGTTACCTAGCAGCTTGCTTGCAGGACTTTTCTAAACGAAAAGGTCTCTTCTCCACAGCCTGTTAATCAAGCCTATTTTAAAGGCCTAATCCAACAAAGCACTTAAACATCTGCTTAAATTTAAGAGAGGCTGATTTGTCCCACTGCTGTCATGTATGATCCCCTACTTGAAGTCAAACATTCTTAAAGTACTTTGATGGATGGGGACCTAACAGGGGTAAAATTCCAGATTCAAGTACAAGCTGCAAACCCTAACATTTGCTGCTTTTCTTTAATACTTTCCGTTCTATTCCTTTTGAATAATTTAAATTCATTTCAAATTTCATTAATTCATCTACATCTCTTACTACTTTTTATGCATACAGAGTATTTAATCTATTTGATGTATGGTGCTCATTAAGCCATTGCCATCTTTCTAAAGCTGGCTCCATTTGTTAACACTCTTAAGTTATCTTATAGTTTCAGATGTTAGGGGCTGGAAGGGCCCTTACGGATCATCGGGTCCAGCCCCCTGCACTTGGGCAGGCATGTTGTATATTTGCTTGTTTTGCAGATTTCCCTTTGAACTAAGACAACATAACTAAGGAGAGGAAAACACTGGCATCAAAGAATTTCAGACTGAAGCATTGCAAAGGCCCTGGAGTTCTCACTGGCAACTAATAGCAAGCAAATATGCTATGTAGAGATTATTTTACAACTACTACATTATGCCTTAAGAAAAGGGCAGAAAATTCACTGAAATTATTATCTGTTGCTGTGTAATACTTTCCTTTCCGTAGGTGTCAGCAAAATGAAAGCACATACTGTACTGTAAATACCAAGACCACATTTCTCTGAACTTAATCTACTCCCCTACAAACTAATATGCAGTATTCAGAAAAATAGATTTATAAGTTTTTGCAATAACGTTCAGTAAAAGTGGTTGTTTCAACTCTTTAGATTCATCCGAGCCCTCAGTCTATGCAGAAAACTTAAGCCTTTGTAGAGAAGATATGCTGTCTTATGCTGAAGTTGCCAGCCATTCTTTTACTTGAGGGGTGGGCAAAATATGGCCTGTGAGCCAGATTCGACCCATCAGTTGATTGTACCTGGCCTGTGGATGTTCCTGAAGCACTCTGCATGGGACTGAGCCCTACCTGCTACTGCCTGGAACAGCCCGTCCCATACCCGCTGATGGCCCTGGCCCCAGCCCAGGCAGTACACACACCTTTCCAGCATGGCTGCTCTCTCTGCTGCTGCAGCCACCCGGCTACTGCTCAGCGCTCTCACCTCCAGCGGCTCTTCCTCCACGTCCTCCTCCTGCAAGCTCCAGGCAGCAGGTAGTACGGAGAAGTGGCAGCATGAGGGAAGCAGCAGCCAGGTTACTCCTGCCCCAGCATGTGGGGCTCCAGCTCCAGCTGCCTTCCACCCATTCTGCCTGCCCTGTGCAATGAGCACTGGCTGGGCAGGGCCATCGGTAGGTAGGAACACAGTACAGACTGCCCCGGGCAGAAGCAGGTAGGGCTCGGTCCCACGCAGAGCACTGCGGGGGCAGCCACGGGTCAAATGTACCTGCCCCAGCACCGCACTCCCCAAGCGAGCGCTGCTGCTTGCACTCCCTGCCCTCCCTTCCACCCTGGCCTGGCTCCCGGGACCAAGCGTGCAGGCAGCCACCCACACACATGAACACACCCAACCCCTCTGCCCACCTACCCCACCTTCCCACCCCTCCAAACACACATGTACAAGACTTTATTTTGAGCTATTCTGCAATTGCCTCTATATATATTATTCTAAAAAACATAAATCAGGACCAAAATTAGTTTTTGAAAAAATTAAAATATGTTACAGTAGATATTTGATTTTTAGTATGATTTTTTTTTTTAGCTATAATTTGTTAAAATTATATTTTCTGAAACATTCTGTGTGCGCAGCCAGCCCTCGACACCTCATCAAAATTCATTAAGTGGCCCACCAGCTGAAATAACTGTTCTGACCACTGGATCTGCAAATAATCCTCTTCTGTAGCTACAGGTATCCACAAAAATACATTTTATATGCAGTAGAGAGTTGATTATCTAGAAAATCAATTAAGCAGAAAGTGTGCTTTTTTTGCATTTTGCACATAGTCTCTCGAGAGGTAAGACAAAACAATGCAGACAATAGAAAAGGAACTTGAGATTAAGAAAAGGGTACAATTGGTGTTGGCAGTATAATACAGCAGGGCAAGGTAAAATATGACACCTTATTCAAGCAGGAATTGAAAAGCTATAAACTATTGGCAGCAAGGTCATCAACAGTGGCAGTGCTCTGTTCATAAGACAAAAATTAGCATGTAGGAACAGATGCTGACTACTGAGGTTATCATTAAAGATGCTCAGGAATGTCCTGATGAAGAGTGAAACATCTCTCTCAAGACAATTTTTAATGTTTACCTACATACTGCATGCGCCTTCCCCTCCAACCCCCCCACAAAAATAATCAGCCCTCCAAAATAGAGAGGCATTTCTTAAGCAGAAAAGCCGATGCTCTTTCTTCACTGGAATAGAAGCATGGAGGAACAGAAAAATGGAGACATGTGCAACGAATGCTAACAGAAGCATGTAATGACTGCTGCTTCTCCAGGCCAACAAGCAGCAAGGGTGGACGCAGTTTAACCCTCCCACAGCTCTGCCCAATTGACAGAAATTTTTAGCTGAAATGGCTGTGAAAGGGTTAAACCCATAGCTTTTGCCTGAGGCAACCAGGCAAGGTATGCAGACAGCTCTGGACCATGCCCCTGGAAAAGTCTTTTTTTTCTCTCTTTACGTTCTGCCTTCCAAAAAACAAGGTGCATGTCATATTTGGGGTTGTGTGGTATGTGAGAAAATATGGTGAAAAGTCTTTGCACAGATAAGAAC